TCGGGAGTGCCACTAGGGCTCAAGGGGTTACAGAGAGTGAGAGCAAGAGTAAAGAAGCGTGTTTGAGGAAAGGATAATGAGGACAGAGACCTAGATCAAGGCATAAGAAGATATCAGTTGACATTACATTTGAATATTTGAAGATTATAGCTCCCAGGGAAGGAAGTAACAAGAAGGGAGTTTCTCAGACGAGAACTACGATATAAGAAGATGTTGGAATAGAAGAGACGGCTACATTTAACCCTTAACTGAAAGGGTGGGACCGAGATGCCAAACTAGTATCACGCTTAAATTCAAGCAGTTTGGGAACTAGATTAAGTAACTCGTCGGAGCAGTTGCCGTGAAAATACTTGTCAGTCGGAAGCAACGGCACGTCTGTGAGAAAGTAACTGTAGACGAGATGCCAGATCAGGACCCATCACATTGCATATCCCACTCTGGATTTTGTCGAGGCAGACTTACTATCGAAACAGGAATAAATGGTTGTTTCAGCGTAGATAATGTGTTGAGACCTGATGCCACTGGGAATTTAATTAATGAAAATTAAAAAAAAACAAAAACAATACCAAGGATAGAACTCTGGGGGACACCTGCATTTAATATTGCCAAAATTCTTTACATATATCTTCGTTTTTAGTCAAACGTTATCCATTCGGCTATGTGGCACTAGAGATAAGTAACCCCATTCCTAAAACCTTCTGTACACAATAGGGCGTTTATATTCGTTTCCTAGGTAGACGTATCTTATCCAACTCTAACAATCAGGGGTTAAATTTCCTTTAGCTACAATAACTTGGCAGGCAACCCCTAATTTAACTACAGTATCTACTCTTAATTTTAATTAGCCGCTAATACGTTTAGATTAAGCCAGCGATTACAATCTGCATTGAATAATCTAATCATACTTTTCAAATTATCCAACCATTTATTCCTCACCACGGCTCCTATAGACTTAGTATTAACTGTCACCTAACTATCCTTCAAATCCAAAAAGAATGTGTTGAATTCTATTCTAGGTTTACCACTATCTAAATTTACCGAAAATCGAGAAAAATATTTTGAATAAGTTACATTGTAAAATCTTGAAAACCCTACAAATTCTATATCGACTCCATTAAACATAATTTGATCGATGTATGTAGAACTTTTCGTCAATATTGCCTAGCTTCCTAGATCTGTCCAAGTATATTTTGCCTGAATTTCTTGAAAGTCTTTTAGCAGACGATGGCAGGTCTGACACCGAATTCCGAAACTGTATTGGAATAGCGAAAGATAGCTTCCCAGAAGCTAAGAAAAGTATTAAATGGAAGCAGAAAGAAAAATGTTCAATTACTATGCAATATCAAGCCGATTGTATGGCAGTGAATAATGGACAATGTCATCACAGATGAAGAAGTGACATGTGGTTCAACAGAAGGACCCAGATAATAACATGGACGACGCATGTGAATAATGAGGAAGTTTTAATGAAAATGGAAGCACAAAAGACCCTTAGATTTCTAATCAGAATGAGACAGTTGAAAATTCTAGGGCACATAACGAGGAAAGGAAATTTAGAGAATTTGACACTCCCAGGGCATATTAATGGCAAGAGGAACAAGGGAAACCAGCGATTAACCTAATCGAAAGAATCAGTGCAAATGAATTGGATGTACGAGGAATTGGAGAAATTTATGAAAAGACAAAAATTGGTAACTACGAAATATAGGAAGTTGTGGAGAGTTATGATCAACACATAAAATAATTTCGAAATATACAGACCAAATCTTTTTGGTGATAAATTCATCAAAGATTTTCATATCTTGAATATATTTCTTATGACCCTACCCGCAGCTTAAATCGGGATCAATGAATGCACCCCAATCACCTGCTAAAACTATCTTCCATGTTGATATTTCAAAGGGATAAAAGCAAAGATGCCTTCCAAAAGTTAAGCAAAGTATTAAGAAACAGGAAAAAATAGTGCTGAAATTTTATATAATGTCGGTAGTCCTATATGCCAATGAATGCTGGACCAACTCATCAAAGGTGGACATGAGCCAAGAGGCAAATAGGGTTCTACAGAAAGTTGCTAAGAATCCCATGAACTGAAGGCGTGAACAACGACGGATGGAAACAAAAAGTAAACATATTTAACATCAGAGGCAGTTGAAATTGCTAGAACACATAATGAGGAAAGAGAGCTTGGAAAATTTGTCAATCACAGGGATAGTTTGAAGGTAAAAGGGATAGACGTACACTTCTCTTAGGCTCCATTGGTGTAGTCTCGCTTTCTGTCAACGTGCAGCCGCTCAGTTCAGACCCTGCTTGTTCCGATATCTCAATCCTCACACGGTGATTGGATAAAGAGAGTTATACAGCTTCCAGACTAGTTTAGTGATCGTCCAGACTTGGTTCTTTAAGTCTTGTGATTCTTAGTGACGAAGAAAGGTAGTCTTTCTTCTTTTATTCAATAAGCCGTGGTAAAGTTCTTCTTGACGACTGGGCTGACTGGAAATAAAGTCAAGCTCTCACCGAAGAAATATTAATGTCGCTTTTGTTTAAATATAGACGATTTAATGAAGGTGGATAAAATAATTTACAATCGGTTATATTTGGCATCTATTAATACAAAAAGATCAGAAGGCGGCGACTAGGAATCGCGATCTATGTGTTCAGAAAGGTTCAATCAGAAATTCAAGTGAATATCAGGCCCCTTCCTTCTCGCGCGTGCGCAACTGCGTATGTGTTTGAAGATCCGTCTTTGACGTCCCAGGCTGTCTCTGCTGTATCCTCAAAATAGAATCGAATTTATACATAATTCTCCGCTCACATATCAAACTGTTCACACGCCAGAATAACTCAATTTTCCATTGTTTAAACTCGGGGTTAAAGACCAACTCCTCTGTTTTGATTTAACCCATTTCATTAAGCGCCACTTCTAAAAAAATATTCGGACGACATTTCCGTCATAAATGGAATCAAAAAAATATGCTGTGACCTGTCCAATTGGAGGTCACACCTGGCCTCTAAACAAATATTTCTGCTTGGAAAAATTAATAAGGATTAGAAAAGCAAACACCAATCCATTCCAAATCGTCGCCTTGAAATTTAAAAAAATACGATAACTTTTAATAACAATTTATATCACTCCCTCACATATGACCGAAATATAATCTGTATTAAACACTTCAATCCTTGCAAAAGTTTCTAGAAAAAGTTAACTGGTTTGTATGGATCAAGCTTTCCATACTTCAAAAGACATCCAATTTCCTGAAGCGAAGAGAAAGAAAGTTCCATGAGAGTTCATTCTCCCTTCTTAGTCCATTTCAATCGTTTGTACCCTCTTGGAATCATTCACTTGCACCGCTCGCATAGATCATTCTTTTTCCATTTTGTTCTTTGTAACATTAAAAGAGATCTCCATCACATTCAAATGCTGATCTGGTTTCAATTTGGCTTCGATTAACCACTTCCCTCACCCCACATGATCTGTACAACCTTCTTAATTTACGTATTATGATGACAACGATGATTAATATTACCAATGTAACTAACATTATTGATAACAAGAAGTACCAATGCTTTAGGGATTTTCGTATTGTTTACCATTCTTAATTTCTCTGCTAGGTTCTTTAAGCTGATCTTCCTTACAGGTCCTAACAATCTAGGAATCTCCTGGACTTTTATTTAAGGAAAATATTTGAACAATGGACTCCCTACTCCAGTCCAGTTATTGGCCGACACGTTCGCAAGGGACGGTAAAGTATCTTTAACTTCAAACTTCTACTCTGCCTGATAAAAAAAAAAAAAAAATAGTGCCGCAGTAAAAGCGACACAACCCATTGCTAATCTAATGATAGATACAGGTGACCACACACTCATAATGATCTTCTGCTTTTATTCGCACTCTTTAGTTCAATTTGCTTATTAGAAGCGATAGCCAATATCCCATCGGATATAATCACCGCTTGGGGTAACTTTTTCTCCCTCATAACATTAATCTTACAAATCTCTTGGACCATTTCTATATGCCCCTTAAACATTTTCATCACACACATCTAATATCCACTAGTTGTATAAATTGGACCTTTTGTGGAACACACTTTCAATAAATGTATGCTATATGTTAAGACTCTCACTGGCGCTAATAACATATACTTGGGAGATTCACTGCTATGTTGTCTGCTTCCAATCTATAATTTGCTACTGCTTCCCTTTCTCCTCCTCTGCCTGGATAGGAAACAGGTATTTTTACTACTTTGAACACTTCTCTATCCAAAAATGGTAGAGACCATTTTATCCTCACTGATAAGTGTAGTGCAGCCCAGTGACTCAAAATAATGCCATAAATCTTTAAATGGGTTCGCTAGCTGTCTTAGTTTATTAGGTACCTTTGACAAATATTTAGCAACAGATCTCTCAAATGCATTAGATTCACCACATTTGGTGATAGTTGCGTCAATGACAACAGGCCCAGCTTGGCTCTGACGGTCTCCAGTGACAACATTAACGGTTGAGAAGCCTGATTCAGTCGATCATTTGTTGCTGTTAATTGCTGTTTCTGTTTCATTGCCACCTAAACACTCCCAATTCGAACAATGGTTAGCTAGGTTACAAAGCCTGTTTCCCACGATATTTGTTGAATTATATTTAATATCTAATTAACTCTTTGCTTATTTTCCGCCAGTTTGGTTCCCGGTCACGTTTAGGATCAACACTTAGGCAACCTTGGTTATCTTTGCCTGATTCTTTCCTACCATTTTCAATTCCTCCTTTATCAATGTCTGGTCTCTTTCCCTAATCGAGCCAAAGATTATATGAAATACCTTCCTTACTAAAGGTATTATTGCTCGCTTCTTATCAAGTCAATTTCCTACAAATACTTAAACATCTCATTCTGTTTTGTTAACCCATCGTACTGTTGGCTTATTATAAACATCAGTTTCAGATAACCCGTGTGTACATCCTACAAAGACAAAAGGTGCTACTTTTAATCCCTTGAATGATTTCCAATCTCCATGCCTTTTACTCTCTTCTCCTCCGATATCTATAAGTCATATAATATATATATTATAAGTCATATAATATATATATTATAAGTCATATAATATATATAAGTCATATAATATATATATTATAAGTCATATAATAAATATATTATAAGTCATATAATATATATATATATATTATAAATCATATAAACGCACACAATTAATAGTCGGCCTCTAAGCTTAGGCAAACCCTGTACTACTTCTGACATCATTTCCGCATCTTTTCTATTCATGGAATGATTCTTAATTCCCCGTTTTCCTTTTCTTCATCCATCACCTTCCTTTTGCCCTGTGGTACTTCTCAGTCTTCTTTTCAGTGGTAATTCTTCCCCGACTTCATCAGTTCTTACCTCCAGACGTCTTTTCAATTCTATGAGGGGAATCTCATTTTTTTCATCCCATTCGTCTGATTCTTCATATGCAGAGTTTCCTTGTTCTTCGCTAGGAACATCTTTCATATTTGTCCCTCGAGATATGAGTTCTACCTGCATTTCAGAATCATGTTCTCCCAAATCCCTACTCAGTCCGGCTAGTGTCACTTGCCGTATTGGCCTTTCTTTCTCTGTGACCTCAGGAATACCACAAACTTCGATTGTGACTCATTTTATGTCGTTGGTTTTTCGCTTTATTTCTCAATTAATCCCAAATCTTGAACGTCACCAACCCTGTTTGTTCTATCCTGTAGTATAGTCTCCATTTTTGCTCTAATTTACCTTACCACATATTGACCCTGTGGATCACCAACCTCAAATTTTGCCTCTGATCTGTTTTTGTTAACCCTTCTATTCCGTTTCTTTTGGGCCCTGAGAATCCGATTTCTTGCTTTTACAAAGACAGGGTGTTGTTTTCCAATCATAATCCGATGAAAGTCTTCACCCATTTATTTCCTTTGAGGTTTCAGCAGATTATCAATCGGTAATACAACATCTCTGCCGAACACCGTGCAGTATGGAGAGAATCTAATTGTCTCATTAATTGAGAATCTGGATGCTGCAAGCGCTTGATTCAATAATAAATCCCAATTCCCATTCTCTCCTTGAGATAATTTTGCTAACATGTCTCCCAAAAATCTATGGAATCTCTCTACCTTGGCATTAGTTTGGGGATGATACAGACGAGATAATAATATGTTTGATGTTCAAAGACATTAGAGACTCTCTGAACGTCACATTCACAAATTCTCCCCTATTATCAGTTAGCAATTCTGGTACTCCCCGCAGTCTTGGGAATATTTCATTTACTATTAGATGAGGTACTGTCTGAGCTTCCACTCTATTTGTGAGCCAGTTCACAAAAATCGCTATATAGATATTCCCTCTCGGTGTGCCTTTTTTGTTAGATTTATCAAGAGTATCGCAATCCTGGAGAATCCGGGGATAAATCTCCTATGATATCCCATAACTCCAATGAATCTACTCACTTTCACTGATTTAGGGTCTGACATGGACCTTATCACTTACAATTTGTCCAGGTCGGGTTTCACTCCTTTCTTGTTAATAATGAATCCTAAATAATTGATCTCGTTTAAAAATTGGTATTTGTGTCCATTATGCTTTAATCTATGTTCTTCCAATTGGTCAAACGCCAATTGTAAATGGCAAAAGCGTTCCTTCGGGTGTTTAGAAATAAACAAAATGTCATCGAGTTAAGCTATCGCAAATATTTCCATTCCGCTGAGGACTATATACATTAACTGCGAAAGAATTCCACGTGCCCCTGATAACCCAAAGTAAATGACCCGAAATCGGTACAGTACCAAATGCCATCCAAACGCCGTCTTCTGGCGGTCATTTTCATCCATATACACTTGCCAATAAATGGCTCTATGATCGATCGTGAAAAAACGTGTAGCTTTTCGTAGAATAGCTAACATGTCGTCTATCAGCGGAAGGCATAAGCTGTTGGTTTCGTTATTTTATTCAAGGTTCTTAAGTCCACACAGAATCTGTAGCCACCGTCTTTCTTTCCCACGATAACTATGGGAAAACTCCATGGTGACTGGAACCGTTCTATTAATCCTGTGTCCAACATCCCTTGGAAAAGCCTGTTCCACCATCTCCCTCTCTCTCTCACTCTTTCTCTCTCTCTCTCTCTCTCTCTCTCTCTCTCTCTCTCTCTCTTGTGTAATAGTGTTCGATATGGCGTTAATTTCAGTTGAGGATATTCTCCAGCATCTGTGCTCGTTATTTTCTGGTTTAGCTTTTTATCACTTTGAGGTATTACATCTTTATTAGCTTCCAAAAGCCGAACCTCTCGACTTTTGTATTCTCTTGGGGCCTTAATCTCTTCCTTCCCCCAAAATCGTAAGTCCTTGACCACGCCAATGGTGGTATTTTATATAGCTCTTGAAACTCAATACTGCTGCCTTTCCCACATTTGTCCCGGGCAATATCAGCATTGTCTTAAGACCGGTGTTAGCAATCACTATAGGCACATTGCCAGTCAAGTCCTCTTCAAATACAGTCGGTAAAATCGTTAATTCATCGCATTCCTCGGCCAACTCCGACGACGGAAGTACGTGGTACCACAAATCTCATTGTATTTATTCAGCCACCCAATGCTTAATATTGTTGTCCGAGTAGGTAGTTTCATATCTTCTTTAGACAAATTGCCAAGCAGAATTTCTTCCTTACTCGTAATCAAGGTTTGCGGGTCAAAGCGACTTATTGCATTATACCATTTTAACCAGTCTCCTCTAATTGTTAATTCTCTGCTGAGACTAGGTGATATATAAATTCCATGGGCAGTTTCTAAATTGCCGATCCGTACCGTTAAGTCCACTATTCCTATTATCTCCATTTCACTGCCATCTGCCTGGGAAACCTCAATATTTAGAGTTTCATCCATTTCCAATCAGCTTCAACTCCCTCGAGTTTAATACAGATATATATCTGTACCTGTATCAATCAAAGCCCCCCTAGTAAGTGTTGTCCTACTATAACCTCACAGGTTAACTCTCCCCTCCTTTGATAGTAACAAGAAAGATTTAGTTTTTCTTGGTCTTCTATTTCTTATTTCCCCCGAGGGAATAATTTCATTTTATTTTTATCATTTCTTTATTCTTTCCTTCCTGATATGTTCATTCTTTCTCTCTTCAAATTACCCTCTTCTCTTCTCGATTCTTTTACTTGTTCTTTCCACTACACAACGACTTCTTTTATTGGGACAAATTCTGATGAATTGAACAACCATTCCATAGACATAACATGTTCTTTTAAACGTAAAATTTAACGCCAAATGATCTTTACCTCCACAGCTGTAACATTTAATCCTGTCACACTTCCTAACCAAGTGGCCACATCATCCACATGTCCAACACACTTTCCCTCTGGTCTTTCTCACTTTTAACTGCAACAGAACTCACCAGGGCCTCCAACCTTTTATATTTCTTCCTGGATGTATTAGTTTAAAATCTTCTTCCGTGACTGGGGCCTCGTAACTATACCTTACCTTTTAACTGGACACTGTCAACCAGTGTTTCCCTTCTGGCCACACTTGCAACACTTCGGTTTCTCCAATCCCCTGACTCTGGTGGTAAGCCTTCACTAGTCAGACAGCCATTAGCCCTGTGCTCAACTCGACCATACACAAAACTCACTATCCCATTCACTCCGGGAGTGGTGATATACCGTCCTTCCCAAAAAGACCACGCTTCATGATTGGTTGCCACCCTTTGCCAATATTCATTTAAGTCCGGATACCTAGCCCCCTTCTACCGCACTCATAACACGCCTTTAGCCTCCCACCGACCTTACTTCACCTTTCTCGCCCAATCGCCATAACCTTGTGAGGAACGCCTCACTTTTGACCAAAGCGAACACATCGTCAAATGTTTCTGTGGAGTCACTAGTCCCATCCCCTCTTATTAGATTATGCAGCGCATCTGTAAACCATTCAGCCAACTGCGCCTGAACCATTGCGTCTCCTCTCTTTGCTGGGTCAGAGTAAGCCACCTTTGCTAGAGCCAACACTCGACCTGCCAAGTCCGCTATCGATTCCTCCCGCTTCATGCTCTTATAGCTGCCAAATTGACGACTTATTTCCGATTCCACGTCTCTCTACGAAGAACTAGCGTTGCTCCCCAAATAGTCTGCACACCACTCGGAGGCTGACCCTTCCCTTCTGGATAGTCATAGGCCAGTCCGATCATATCCGCATCAGACAAATCATATATACGGGCTTTCTTTCTTATTGTCTCAAGCGACAGACGAAGCTCTGTCACCTTGCCTATAAAGATAGTAATGTTCGAAACTGAAATATTCAGCTTTGCCATTAGTCTCTGAGGAGGGGTCAATCTTATTATTTACTTTGATCTTTTTTCAGCCATTCTACGATATATAAAGAAATAATGCCATTTTTTTACAATAGACAAGGGGAACAATTTTTTTTTTTAAATTTAAAAACCGAAGCAAAAAACAAGCCCAAATTGACACACAATAAAGAACAGGTAAACAATGACGAAAGAGCAGAAGAAAGGATTTCTGACTTACCTTACCTCCTCACGTATCTTATGCTTATAGGTTTGGTTAAATATAGATGATTTATTTAAGTGTAAAGAAGAAGAATAATAATAATAATAATAATAATAATAATAATAATAATAATAATAAACTGGACGCATAAAGGCAAATAGAGTGACTCCTTTTTTCTTTTATGATAACTTCTAGCGCAATTTGTTTTCCGAACAAGTGAACAGGTTGCACTCATAATTCGATATGTCAACTAAGATATTGATCTCGAACAAGATTAACTGAGAAAAGTCGAAACTTCTTAGCAAGAATACTCTCACAATTACCTCCAGCAAAACAGACTTCTTGTGAATACCAAGGCTTTGAAAATTCCGAACAAGACTAAGACACCAGTTTTCTGATGTTGGACTATTGAACCAGAGAGCAATACTTAGTTCACTAGTGAACTAAAGAGATAAAATGACATGCCTAAAGACACCGATGTCCTGTCTCACGAACACTTTACCCTACCACCAACCTCATACCAAAAATCTGATTACTGCAGTCATATCTGGATTGGAGCTGCTTTATTTACCAGTCATCATAGTGTTCAAAAGCAACTTCGCGGCCTTGTGGATGATGATCTCTTTCCAACAGGAAACATCGCAAGCCTCTCGGTACTCTATGATGAATGTTCGGAAGAGCTATATTCTTTAGAACCACCAATTCTAACCTTCACAGCTGAGGTCTACCATGTCACTTATTCATATTAACCCCTTATTACATAATGGAAATATGTTAGGCGTGTGTTTAAATCAGTGTGATCCCTCACGTTTATTCTCTTGGTTCTGCAATCCAAAGATCGTGAATTGTTTAGATTCTAGGCAGAAAAGCTTATATGCTTGTTTATTGTTGATAGAAGATGAAGTGATGCAATAGAAAATGGAAGCGAAGAATGCGGAAGGTATGGAAACGTTATCGAAGAAAATGAAGTAATTGAATTATGAGGAGATTTGGAGAAAAGTGTAAACAAGAGTACGGATTGAAAAAAATAGCATTTTCTGTGTCATTATTTTCTCATCGTCGCTGTCATGAGAGATTGCTGGTTAATAAAGGGTAGCTACTGTTATACAGGAATAAAGTGTCGCTGCAGACACTTGAGTTTGAACATAGATCGCCAGTGAGAAAACACAGGCGATCCCATTATTAAATTAAGTAGACTATATGACCATAGAGGAAATGCATATATGTGAGGTAGCGTGTGTCTAATTGATCTCCGTTTCTAGTCTATCCTCTGGACGAGTTGAGATTCATTTGTGTGTTGACATTTTTGCTTTAGCACAACCAAAGATTGAATGCTTACAAATAATTAATTTTATAACTTTTATTTTGGTGAACTTTTTAATGTCTCAGTTTTCTTTTCTATTTATCTGTATTTGTTTTTCATTTTTTTATTTTATTGTTTTTTTATTTTATTTTATTTAACTTTGTTTCCTTGTTCTGTTGTTTAAGCCCTTTTCCGTTTTTATTTCAGTTTTATTTCGCATTTATATTAATTGTTGTTTATTTTGTGCTCATTTGATTTTATAAGACGAACTATTATTTATTCAGCTATGGTGGTTTTATATCACCATGGTAAAAGATCCAGATTCACCGCCGTTGCATTCGCAAAATAAATCCCCGGCTAAAAAAAAAGTGGATGGTCGGAAAACAGGCCAAAGAAAGACTTGTCATATTACGATGAACTGGGAGTCATATACGAGAAATACATCCAAGGAAATGAGATTATTACAACACCGGAAGCACTGGATGCAGTTAATGCAAGGATAATTTCCCTGCTGAACACCGACGTAAAAATGTCGGTGACTGGGGTCAGCAGGGAAGCCATGGAAGAGGTTGTAAAAAGCCTACACATTTCACTTAAAATCCTCGCGAGAAATTCAAATGGTATCTACTTCTTTTCAACAGAACAAGAAACGAAAGTGCTCGCTGAAAGTATATTGACCACAGCAACACTAAGACTCCAGACAAAATACATGGGTACCCGACGCACAAAAATTACGGTGCGTGGTGTACCCGTGGACATATATGAAGACAGAATGGGTTGTGGGGGGTTCTTTTCGCAGTACGGACCGGTAGACGAAGTTTCGTCCATCATGAGCAGGCCTGGAATTGCTACGGGAGACATGGTTTTGTATGTAATACTTACACGGTAGGCTTTTGGGGAGGTCCCTAATATATTGATGTTCCGGGAGAGACGGATGTTAGTTGCGGTGGAGGGGTGCAAACCGTATTGTTGGTCATGTGGAGCATTGGTCTACATGCCTAAAGCGTGCCCCGCCAAGAACTCACAGCCTCCACCCCGCCTAGCGACCACAGCAACTACAACAATAGTAACAACAGTAGCAGCAACATGTGGAATGGAAGAAGGTAAAGTGATAGAAAGTTACAGACAAGCCCACTTCTCCAAAAACGATGTGCTGTACCCACAAATGCTGCGAAAGTCCAAGGAGCGTCCAAAGGAGGCGCAGGAGGAACAGGTGAAGGAGAAAAAGAGCTCGCAAAATAGCAGCAGCAATAACAACAAGTACAGCAAGAACAGAAAAAGCAACTGCAGCAACCTGACACGAAGATGGAGGTTGACGAAATGCCTCCACCTCGTGCCTCAGCATTGAAGAGGAGTGATGACGAAGTCGAGGAGGAAGACGTAATCACTCAGGTGAAGTACGGCAGATAGGTACATGGAAAAAACCCAGGTACTTATACGTCCTTCATCTACTAAAGCAAGTCCTGTTACAGTTTCAAAAGCAAGGACCCTTCCTACCTCCTCGTGCTCTGTTCCCCTTTCCTTCCACTGACTCCGTCAGTTCAATATTTACCTCCCACTCTCACGTCCACCTCTTCTACTCCCCACCCAGGTATGGGAAAGTAGAAAAAGAAATATTTCCCCGGCTCAGATTTAATATGTAAGGGTGATAGAAAGGAGCTAAAGAAGGGCTTATCGTCACAGAAAAAGCCTTTCTAGGTTCACTATTTAAATTAACCACCGTCGACAGCAAGTCGGTGGAGGATCTCCGTAATTTCACTGAGGCTCCTGGGGTCATATCTTTCATCAGGGATTCGGGGGGAATACCTGAATGTGTGAAATCACTTATTTGAATGCAATATGTTCTCAAATATTAGAGTTTTCGAGTTACGATCATCCAATTTAAAAAAAAAAACAAAAAAACTGTCTAAATTCAGTGCAGGGAGGGTCCCTCGTATTACTCCATCCCTCAGTATATAGGACAGTTAAACTAACATACCCTATGGACGTCAGCAGGATTGTCTCAGATGGTCGGATGACGACGGAGTTCGGTACAGAGAGGCTGGGACAATCTTTCGGGGTACTGAAACCTGCAGATTTCCGTCTAGTCTGCGTTTAAGGAACTCAGGCTTAAATTACGTCTATCAAGCTACCCATCCTGAATGTGAGGGGTTTAAGAGATCTGGATAAGGCTTCCCGCCTGCTTTGTGATCTCAGGTCCTTTGGAATAGATGTAACTGCGAAGGTGGACCTTGTTTATGTCGACGATGGGGGCTGGTTGATGTTGGCCAATACTGCCGTGAGCAGTGGTTCGTTTCGGGTCGTTGCGGTTTACGCGCCCAACGACCAGGGAGAGCGTGTGGACTTTTCCGCCAGTTGGGGCCGTTCTTGTTGATTCTTTGCGCTTAGTCTTAATGGGGACAGGAATGCCAAGATAGGTAGGGGTAGGCAGCTAGCGGGAAGTAATCCGGCGATAGTAGCCAGCTACCTGGACAGACTGTTGGTGAGAAGAGTCGATCTAGATTTACTAGATTGTCCCATGTTTAGACTATTCGGATCATAGACTCGTCTGTGCCCGGACAGTGTTAAGTGCTAGGTCTAGAATGGGGGAACACTGGACGTTCAATCTGTCCTTAATGGACACGCAAGTCTTTCAGCAACAGCTGACGCGTTTAGTGCAGCGGAAATTAGTGGGAGCGGTTATTGGGCGTAGATGGAGGGAGAGGCTTAAGGATAGAATTAGGTCATTCACCACTGAATATAGCCAACAACTCGTTCTAGATAAAGCTAAAAAGATGAAGACTCTAGAGGATAGTCTTTCCCGGGTGGTGGCTGGGGGGAATACCCTAGAGATAACCGTAGATAGGCAGGCCCTGCAGCCCGTGGTAGCAAACGCTACCAGGGTCAGTTAGTTAGATATAGGTTAAACAATAACGAAACCGTGAACATGGGCGCAGAATTGCGCAAGGAGAAGATACGTAGAGGTTCCGATCAATACATTCACGAGGTCATTACCCTAGACGTGCGTCCTCTGAGCTCGACCAAAGACATGTCCGAGGCGTTTCGGCGGAATTTCGAGAGCTTTTTTACCAAGGAGCCTGGTTTCAGTGGCGACAAGTTTTGCTTTCGTAGACTGAAGTGGCTAGCTGCGAAAGTGAGATCATGCAGGGCGAAGTCTACCTGGAATAGAAAAAAATCAGAAGCCGGGACTTGATGGTCTGCCCTACGAAATGCACTTGAGGCTGTCGCACATGTTTGTCCCGATTTTGACAGATTTCAGCAGTTGTTCATCCCCAACCGGATTTCCAGGGTTGTGAT